AGATAATACTCCCTACAACTGTACAACAAATCACCTTTATGTAAGAGATAATACTCCCTACAACTGTACAACTCACTATTATGTAACAGATAATACTCCCTACAACTGTACAACAAATCACCTTTATGTAAGAGATAATACTCCCTACAACTGTACAACTCACTATTATGTAACAGATAATACTCCCTACAACTGTACAAAATCACCTTTATGTAACAGATAATACTCCCTACAACTGTACAACAACTCATCCTTATGTAACAGATAATACTCCCTACAACTGTACAACAAATCACCCTTATGTAACAGATAATACTCCCTACAACTGTACAACAAATCGCCGTTATGTAACATATAATAATCCCTACAAATGTACAACAAGTCACACTTATGGAACACATAATAATCCTTACAACTGTACAACTCATCCTTATGTAACATATAATACTCCCTACAACTGTACAACAACTCACCCTTATGTAACAGATAATACTCCCTACAACTGTACAACAAATCACCCTTATGTAACAGATAATACTCCCTACAACTGCACAACAACTCACCCTTATGTAACAGATAATACTCCCTACAACTGTACAACAACTCACCTTTATGTAAGAGATAATACTCCCTACAACTGTACAACTCACTATTATGTAACAGATAATACTCCCTACAACTGTACAACAACTCATCCTTTATAGAACAGATAATACTCCCTACAACTGTACAACAAATCACCTTTATGTAAGAGATAATACTCCCTACAACTGTAAAACAACTCATCCTTATGAAACAGATAATACTCCTACAACTGTACAACAATTTATCCTTATGTAACAGATAATACTCCCTACAACTGTACAACAACTCACCCTTATGTAACAGATAATACTCCCTACAACTGTACAACAATTTATCCTTATGTAACAGATAATACTCCCTACAACTGTACAACAAATCACCCTTATGTATCAGATAATACTCCCTACAACTGTACAACAACTCATCCTTATGCAACAGATAATACTCCCTACAACTGTACAACTACTCATCCTTATGTAACAGATAATACTCCCTACAACTGTACAACAACTCATCCTTATGTAACAGATAATACTCCCTACAACTGTACAACAACTCATCCTTATGCAACAGATAATACTCCCTACAACTGTACAACTACTCATCCTTATGTAACAGATAATACTCCTACAACTGTACAGAACTCAAACTTATGTAACAGATAATACTCCCTACAACTGTACAACAACTCATCCTTATGCAACAGATAATACTCCCTACAACTGTACAACAAATCACCCTTATGCATCAGATAATACTCCCTACAACTGTACAACAACTCATCCTTATGCAACAGATAATAATCCCTACAACTGTACAACTACTCATCCTTATGTAACAGATAATACTCCCTACAACTGTACAGAACTCAACTTATGTAACAGATAATACTCCCTACAACTGTACAACAACTCATCCTTATGTAACAGATAATACTCCCTACAACTGTACAACAAATCACCTTTATGTAACAGATAATACTCCCTACAACTGTACAACTCACCCTTATGTAACAGATAATACTCCCTACAACTGTACAACTCACTATTATGTAACAGATAATACTCCCTACAACTGTACAACAACTCATCCTTATGTAACAGATAATACTCCCTACAACTGTACAACAAATCACCCTTATGTAACAGATAATACTCCCTACAACTGTACAACTCACTATTATGTCACAGATAATACTCCCTACAACTGTACAACAACTCACCCTTATGTAACAGATAATACTCCCTACAACTGTACAACTCACCCTTATGTAACAGATAATACTCCCTACAACTGTACAACTCACTATTATGTAACAGATAATACTCCCTACAACTGTACAACTCACTATTATGTCAACAGATAATACTCCCTACAACTGTACAACTCACCCTTATGTAACAGATAATACTCCCTACAACTGTACAACTCTCTCACTAAACCAGAACTCAACAAGGTCTAAACCAGGACTAACTTTTATAACGAGTTCCTCCCAACACTTCTGACAATACAGAAGCAAAATGTGACAAATGTCTTGCCAAATGACACAACAACAATCGGAACTGAACCACAAACCTTTTTTTTTTTTTTTTTTTTTTAATTCATAAATAACTTTGTAGAAATGTGTAAGAAAAGTCAAACCCGAATAAAGTTATGCAGAAAACGGAATTAACGAAGGACGAATATTTAATAATTAACACCAAATAAACCGCTCAGAATTATGCAAACGAGCAGCTTATGGTGTAAAATACAGAGTTAACGAAGAGTATTTTTAGATCAGTTTAAAACGGAGGAGCGTCTTCTGGAAGTGAGACCAGAGGAGGAGGAGAAGAAGAGAAAAGGAGGAGAAGAAGAAAAGGAGAGGAGAGATGAAGAGCGACGCTTCACTTTTACAAACGAGACAAATCTATAGAGAGAGCGAGCGCAGCATATTGATCACATCTGATCAACCACACACAGACACACACAGACACACACAGACACAGACACACACAGACACACACACACAGACACACACACACACACACACACACACACACAGACACACACACAGACACACACACACACACACACACACACAGACACACACAGACACACACACACACACACACACACACACACACACACAGACACACACACAGACACACACAGACACACACACACACACAGACACACACAGACACACACACACAGACACACACAGACACACACACACACACACAGACACACACGCTCCAGAGATCCTCCTCTGACCCTCTCGTCTTCATCTTCTGACCTTCTCCTCTTCATCCTGGACTCCTCTAACCCTCTTCTTTGCATCGTTTACTCCTCTGACCCTCCTCTCTTCACCCTCTGCTCCATCTGACCATCTCCTCTCCTCCTCTGATCCTCTTCTCTTTTCCTCTGCTCCTCGCCCCTCTTCATCCTCCACTCCACTGACCCTCTCATCTTCATCATTTACTTTTCTGACCCTCTCTTTTGTTTTGTTTACTCCTTTGACCCTCTCATCTTCATCCTCTTACTCTTCTGACCCTCTCCTCTGCTCCTCTGCATCCTCTTACCCTCTTCTTTGTATCGTTTACTCCTCTGATCTTCTTCTCTTTTCTTCTGCTCCTCTGACCCTAATTCCTCTTCATCCGTTGCTCCATCTGACCATCTCCTCTGCATCGTTTACTCCTCTGACCCTCCACTGCTGCCTCACCCACTCGTCTTCATCCTTTACTACCTTTGAGACTCTTCTCCTTATCTTCTGCTCCTCTGACCCTCTTCTGTTCATCCTCTTGCTCCTCTGACCCTCTTCTTTGTTTCGTTTACTCCTCTGACCCTCTTCCTCCTCTGACCCTCTCCTCTTCTCCTCCTCTGACCCTCTCCTCTTCCTCCTCGTCCTCCTCACCTGTGGCGCAGACGTGTTGTCGTTAATTACACTTCCTGTGACTCACTTCTGGCTCGGCTCCAGACTGGCTCTGTTGCCGGGGGCGACGGCGGGACGACGGTGGTCAGCCGGGGTCGACTTTAATAAACCGCCACCGCAGTTAACGAGCGTTCAGGGAACACCTCGCCGCTATAATACTCCCTACAACTGTACAACAACTCAGTCTTTTGTCACAGATAATACTCCCTACAACTGTACAACAACTCACACTTATTGTAACAGATAATACTCCCTACAACTGTACAACAACTCAGTCTTTTGTCACAGATAATACTCCCTACAACTGTACAACAACTCCGTCTTTTGTCACAGATAATACTCCCTACAACTGTACAACTCACCTTTATGTAACAGATAATACTCCCTACAACTGTACAACGACTCACAATTATGCAACAGATAATACTCCCTACAACTGTACAACAACTCAACCTGATGTAACAGATAATACTCCCTACCCTACCTGACCTGAGACCGGGACCAGACCAGGACCAGACCGTGATTGAGACCGGGACTGAGACCGGGATTGAGAACGGGACCAGGACTGAGGCCAGGACTGAGACCAGAACCAGATCAGAATTGAGACCGGGACTGAGTCTGGGACCAAACCGGGACCAGGACCAGAACTGAGACCGGGACTGAGGCCGGGACCAGACCAGGACCAGACGATGATTGAGACCAGGACTAGGACTGAGACCGGGACTGAGACCGGGACTGAGACCGGGACCAGGACCAGACCATGATTGAGACTGGGATCAGACCGGGACCAGGACTGAGACCGGGACTGAGACTGGGACTGAAACTGGGACCAGACCAGAACTGAGACTGAGTCTGAGTCCAGGACCAGACCGTGACCAGGACTGAGACCAGGACCAGACAGTGATTGAGACCGGGATTGAGACTGGGACCAGGACGAGAACTGAGACCAGGACTGAGACCGGGACTGAGGCTAGAACCAGACCAGGACCAGACTGTGATTGAGACTGGGACTGAGACGGGACCAAACCGGGACCAGGACTGAGACCAGGAATGAGACCAGGACTGAGGCTGGGACTGAGGCTGGGACCAGACAAGACCAGACTGTGATTGAGACCGGGACTGAGGCCGGGACCAGAACTGAGACCAGGACTGAGACCAGGACTGAGACCAGGACCAAACATAAGTTCTAAATATTTGTTCGAGTCCAACTTCAGTCGTCTTTCCAGTCCAGTCTAATTCAGAGACGGTGTTTGTTCTGACAGATTCTAAACACTTCAGGAAAGGCTCATGTCTGTTCTGGTGATGTGACTTTTTTAGTATCGACACCTGTGAAAAATGAGCATCTGGTTTCGATACTCGTTTTATTAGTTTCTCGTTTCTGTTAGCGTCAGATTTTTCGATACTTTTGACAGCCCTGGTGGTGAAAATAAAACATTTGACTTGCTGAAATCCTCGCTCCTGTGTTCAAACTGACTGAATTCTGCTGTAACATTTCACTTCTGTCTCAGCTTCGGTCCCTGAAGTCCAGACTGTCGGACTCTCCGCGGAGCTGTCTCCACCGTCGCCATGACAACAGGAGCGAGGGGATGAGCAGAGGCTGGTGATAAGAGCAAATATATTTAAATCAGAGAACAATGGGGACTTTAATATTGTTAATAAATCGGCCTCATTAACGCAATTAAGTCCCAGTGTAACGTCTGAAGTGAGACTTTATAACAGTAATGAGACCCACAGGTCAAACGCAGTACAAGTACTGCAGTACACACACTCTGAAAATACTCCGGACTTTCTCTAAATCTCCAAAAACTTTTACTGTGGAGTAGCAGTAGTACAAGTAGTAATAATAGTATTAGCAGCAGAAGTAGCAACAGTACTAGTTGCAGTAGTTGTAGTAATAGTAGTAGTAGCAGTAGTACAAGTTTTAGTAGTAAGAATAATAGTAATAGTACAGGTGGAGTAGTAGCAGTAGAGGTACAAGTAGTAATATTAGTAGTACAAGCAGTAGTAGTACAAATAGTAGTAGTAATAGTAGCAGTAGCAGTAGTTGCAGCAGCAGCAGTTGTACAAGTAGTAGTAGTAGTAGTAGTAGTAGTAGTAGTAGTAGTAATAGTACTAGTAAGTAGTAGTAGTAGTAGCAGTACAAGTAGTAGTACAAGTAGTAGCAATAGTAGTAGTAACAGTAGTAGTAGTAGTAGTAGTACTAGTAGTAGTACTAATAGTAGTAGTAGTAGCAGTACAAGTAGTAGTACAAGTAGTAGCAATAGTAGTAATAACAGTAGTAGTAGTAGTAGTAGTAGTAGTAGTAGTAGTAGTAGTAGTAGTAGTAGTAGTAGTAGCAGCAGCAGCAGCAGCAGCAGTACAACCAGTAGCAGTAGTACTAGTAATAGTAGCAGTAGCAGTAGTAGTAGCAGTAGCAGTAGCAGTAGTAGTAGTAGTAGTAGTAGTAATAGTACAAGTAGTGGTAGTAGTAGTAGCAGCAGTACAAGTATTATTAGCAGTAGTAATAGCAGTAATAGTACAAGAAGTATTAGTAGTAGCAGCAACAGCAGTTAAACAAATAGTAGCACAAGTAGTAAGTAGTATTAGCAGTAGTAGTAGAAAAAGTGAAGTTACATCACAGTTGTACAGGAGAAACTTGTGTGTCTTGTGTTTGTTTGTTGTGTTTTGTTTAATAAAGTTACAGATTCAGTGTCGTTCAGGCTCATAGATTTTCTCTTCTCCACATTTGGGCCGATTACACAAAATGAGGCTCGTTTGTTTTGTTCTCCTTTTCTACACTGTAAATATGAAAACACACTGAGTCTGAACCGCGAATCTGAGGAGGGTGAGTCTGCGGGTCTGAGGAGGGTGGGTCTGTGGGTCTGAGGAGGGTGGGTCTGCGGTAGTTTTGAGGAGGGTGGGTCTGCGGCAGTTCTGAGGAGGGTGGGTCTGCGGCGAGTCTGAGGAGGGTGGGTCTGAGGAGGGCGGGTCTGAGGGGGTCTGAGGAGGGCGGGGTCTGCGGCGAGTCTGAGGAGGGTGGGTCTGTGGGTCTGAGGAGGGTGGGTCTGGGAGGGTCTGCGGTGGGTCTGAGGAGGGTGGGTCTGAGGAGGGCGGGTCTGTGGTCTGAGGAGGGCGGTCTGCGGTGGTCTGAGGAGGGCGGGTCTGGGAGGGTCTGAGGAGGGTGGGTCTGAGGAGGGCGGGTCTGCGGTGGGTCTGAGGAGGGCGGGTCTGGGTCTGAGGAGGGTGGGTCTGAGGAGGGCGGGTCTGTGGGTCTGAGGAGGGTGGTCTGAGGAGGGCGGGTCTGCGGCGAGTCTGAGGAGGGTGGGTCTGTGGGTCTGAGGAGGGTGGGTCTGAGGAGGGTGGGTCTGAGGAGGGCGGGTCTGAGGGGCGGGTCTGAGGAGGGCGGGTCTGGGTCTGAGGAGGGCGGGTCTGTGGGTCTGAGGAGGGCGGGTCTGGGGTCTGAGGAGGCGGGTCTGTGGGTCTGAGGAGGGCGGGTGGGTCTGAGTCTGGGTCTGAGGAGGTGGGAGGGCGGGTCTGTGGGTCTGAGGAGGGCGGGTCTGGGTCTGAGGAGGGCGGGTCTGGGTGAGGAGGCGGGTCTGAGGAGGGCGGGTCTGGGTGGGTCTGAGAGGGCGGGTCTGGGTCTGAGGAGGGTGGGTCTGAGGAGTCTGAGGAGGGCGGGTCTGAGGAGGGCGGGTCTGAGGAGGGTGGGTCTGAGGAGGGCGGGTCTGAGGAGGGCGGTCTGTGGGTCTGAGGGCGGGTCTGAGGAGGGCGGGTCTGGGAGGGGGGTCTGGTCTGAGGAGGGCGGGTCTGGGTGGGTCTGAGGAGGGCGGGTCTGTGGGTCTGAGGAGGGTGGGTCTGAGGAGGGTGGGTCTGAGGAGGGCGGGTCTGTGGGTCTGAGGAGGGCGGGTCTGTGGGTCTGAGGAGGGTGGGTCTGAGAGGGCGGGTCTGCGGCGGATCTGAGGAGGGCGGGTCTGCGGCGAGTCTGAGGAGGGCGGGTCTGCGGCGAGTCTGAGGAGGGTGGGTCTGTGGGTCTGAGGAGGGTGGGTCTGAGGAGGGTGGGTCTGAGGAGGGCGGGTCTGTGGGTCTGAGGAGGGGGTCTGCGGTGTCTGAGGAGGGGTGGGTCTGCGGCGAGTCTGAGGAGGGCGGGTCTGCGGCGGGTCTGAGGAGGGCGGGTCTGTGGGTCTGAGGAGGGTGGGTCTGCGGTGCGTTCGAGTGCGCTCTGCTCTCCACGGCGTCCTGTATGTGAGAGTGTGAGCGGGACATATGCGCAGACAGCAGGGGGCGCCGCGTTCACTGTAAACAATAAACAAACTCTACAGAAAGAGATTTACAAGCGGAAAAAGAGCCTGACTCTGCATCTTCTGCTCCATCTGCTCCTCTGACCCTCTCCTCCTTAGCTTCATCTACTCCTCTCCTCTGTTCTTCTTCCTCTCTCTTTCTCTCCTCCTCCACTCTTTTGTGTGTGTGTGTGTGTGTGTGTGTGTATAAGTGTGTGTGTGTGTGTGTGTGTGACATATGCCCGGGCAGCAGGAGGCGCCGTTCACACTGTAAACAATAAACAAACTCCACAGACACAGAGTTAAAGAGGCGGAAAAATGACTCACACTCTGGAGCAAACGCACACACACACACACACACACACACACACACACTCACACACACACACTCACACACACACACACACACACACACACACACACACACACTCACACACACTCTCGTCTGGATCCAAGAGACGAGTGTGAGGTCGGCCCTTCTGTTCTCATTTGGATTTTTTATTGTTTTAATTTAATGTTTTATTTCGTTTGTTTTGTTTTGTTCAAATAATAGTTTAGATAATTGCTGTTGTGTTTTGCTTTTCCCACTTTTGACACACTGTAAATGTCCTTCTCCTCCCTCTGCCAACGCTGTTCTCTCCTTCACTCTCCTCTCTTCCTCTCTCTCCCTCTCACTCTCTCTCCGTTTCCTTCCCTCTTCTCTTTGAGCCCTCCCTCCCTCTTTCCTTCCTCCCAATAGTAGTAGTAATAGTTTTAGGAAGTAGTAGGAGTAGTAGTAATAGTACTAGTAATAGTAGTAAAATAGTAGTACTAGTAGTAAAAGTAGTAGTAGTAGTTGTAGTAGTAGTAATAGTAGTAGCAGCAGCAGCAGTAGTAGTAATAATAGTAATAGTAGTAGTAGTAGTAGTAGTAGTTGTAATAGTAATAGTAGTAATAGTAGAAGTAGTAAAATAGTAGTAGTAGTAATAGTAGTAGTACTGGTGGTAGTAGTAGCAGTAGTAGTAGTAGTAGTAGTAGTAGTAGTAGTAGTAATAGTAGTAGTAGTGATAGTAGCAGTAATTGTAGTAGTAGTAGTAATAGTAGTAGTAGTGATAGTAGCAGTAATTGTAGTAGTAGTAGTAGTAATAGTAGTTGTAGTAGTAGTAGCAGTAGTAATTTTCGTTGTAGTAATAGTAGTGGTAGTAGTAGTCATAGCAGTAGTAGTATAATAATAATGTATATAAGTATAATAATAATAGTAATACTAGTAAAAGTTGTAATAGTAGTGGTAGTAGTAAAATAGCAGTAGTAGTAGTAGTAGTAGTAGTAGTAGTAGTAGTAAGTAGTAGTAGTAGTAGTGATAGTAGCAGTAATTGTAGTAGTAGTAATAGTAGTAGTAGTAGTAGTGATAGTAGCAGTAATTGTAGTAGTAGTAGTAGTAATAGTAGTTGTAGTAGTAGTAGCAGTAGTAATTTTCGTTGTAGTAATAGTAGTAGTAGTGGTAGTAGTAGTCATAGCAGTAGTAGTATAATAATAATGTATATAAGTATAATAATAATAGTAATGGTAGTAGTAGTAATAGTAATGTTAATAGTAGTGGTAGTAGTAAAATAGTAGTAGTAGTAGTAGTAGTAGTAGTAGTAGTAGTAATAATAGTAGTAGTAGTAGTATAGTAGCAGTAATAGTAGTAGTAGTAATAGTAGTAGTAGTAGTAGTAGTAGTAGTAGTAGTAGTAGTAGTAGTAGTAGTAGTAGTAGTAGTAGTAGTAGCAGTAGTAATAGTTGTAGTAATAGTAGTAGTAGTGTAGTAGTAGTATAGAGTAGTAGTATAGTAATAATGTATATAGTATAAAATAGTAGTAGTAGTAGTAGTAGTAGTAGTAATAGTAGTAGTAGTAGTAGTAGTAGTAGTAGTAGTAGTAGTAGTAGTAGTAGTAGTAGTAGTAGTAGTAAGTAGTAGTAGTAGTAGTAGTAGTAGTAGTAGTAGTAGTAGTAGTAGTAGTAGTAGTAGTAGTAGTAGTAGTAGTAGTAGTAGTAGTAGTAGTAGTAGTAGTAGTAATAATAGTAGTAGTAGTAGTAGTAGTAGTAGTAGTAAGTAGTAATAGTAGTAGTAGTAGTAGTAGTAGTAGTAGTAGTAGTAGTAGTAGTAGTAGTAGTAGTAGTAGTAGTAGTAGTAGTAGTAGTAGTAGTAGTAGTAGTAGTAGTGGTGGTATTGTTATTTTCAGTAATTATGATTTACACTGTGTCACTTTCAGAAAATAAAAAATAAA